TTATCTTTTATATTCATAGTAGATATATTATTAGTAGGACCTCTATTTTTAGTAATAGTTTTAACTATGTTCAAAGTAGTTTTTATTTTATTGTTAGATTTTATTAGAAGTTTTTTTTTGCAGTCATAATGACCCTAGCCAGAATTCAACAGTATTTCTTAAAATATTCCTTTGTATTTGGATCATTACTATTTCTATAAGTTAAATAAAATTTTCTTTTATTTGCACATGAAATTTTAATACCTGTAGTTAGCCAAGGTTTTTGTTTATAAGAGTATTGAAATTTCTTTAAAAGAAAACGTGAATAGAAAATTCTGAGAAATGTGTTGAGAAAATGATTAAAAATGGCATTAACATTAGATTCAGAGTAGACATTTTTCCAATTTTCATAACTTAATAGAGTTATGAATTGACACGAGGTAGTGTAGTTGGTTGAGGCTCTATGCCACAAGCTGGAAGGTTGCAAGTTCAAGTCCCGATGAGGTCATTGGATTTTTTTTTCAGTTGACCTAATCCTTCCGGCCACACTATGGCCCTGGTGTCGACTCAGCCTCTAACAGAAATGAGTACCAGAAATTAATTAAATAATTTTCGTGGGGAGTAAATCGCGGCTGGCGCGTAAGGCTGACAATCTTACTGCCATCTTTGAGCTGATTGTCTGATAATGTGGGAACCTCAGTGTCTCACAACTCTATAGGCCTTCACAGCCTGTTATAGGGATAGCTTTACTTTTACTTTTTTACTTTATTATCTATTATCTATTATTTAAAATTCTGGTAGGAAAGCTAATCATCCTAAAATGATTGAAAGAAGCTAAAAGAGAATCTAAAAGGTCTTTCCTAATGTTATCATCTAGATAATTTATATTAAAATCACCACATAAAATTAATTCATTAGATCCATGATTTATTTAAACCGTCTTGCAGTGCATACACTCATCTATCTCCTTCTCTCACTCGCACTACATGTTTCGGCATAATAATGCCGAATAATAATAATGTGTATGCACTGCAAGACGGTTTAAATAAATCATGGACTTAAATCGGTGCAACAGGATGCTAAAATATAACATTAGTAATAATTCATTAGATGTTTTGTATAATTTATTCAATATTGATTCCTGCTGATTTAAAAAATAGAAAAAGTTACCAGTTGGAGATCTATAAATACATAAAACAATAAATTTCTTTGACACAAAATTTAGCTTTAGAGCACAAATTTCAAGATCCTTTTCCCCATTTAATTGATCTAAATTAATGGCATGAAATTGGATATTTTTATAAACAAGAATACACCCTCCTCCATGACTGTATGTTTGTCTACAGAAAGAGGCATCTACAGTATACTGACTAAAATTTATCTTACTTATTTCATCTATTCTAAGGTGGTGTTCAAATAGCCAAATAATTTGAGGTATATTTGTAGCTAATGAAATTAAAAATTCATCAGTTTTGTTAATAATTCCTCATATATTTTGATGATGGCAAAAGCTGCATTTAGCAAGAAGAAGAATCTTTTTACCAGCAAATTGGACTTAAATTTGAGGAAGAAACTAGTGAAATGCTACATTTGGAGAATAGCTCTGTATGGGGCTGAAACATGGACACCTAGGGCAGTAGATCAGGAACATCTGGGAAGTTTCGAAATGTGTTGGAGAAGGATGGAGAAGATCAGTTGGACCGATTATGTGAGAAATGAAGAAGTGTTAATTAGAGTCAGTGAGCAGAGGAATATCCTACACGAAATAAGAAAATGGAAGGCTAATTGGATTGGTCATATTTTACGCAGAAACTGCCTTCTAAAAGAAGTTATTGAAGGAAAGATAGAGGGGCGGATAGAAGTGACAAGAAGACGAGGAAGAAGACGTAAGAAGATGCTGGATGACCTTGGGGACAGAAGAGGATATTGTCATTTGAAGGAGAAAGCTCTAGATCGCATTAAGTGGAGGAATTGTTTTGGTAGAGACTGTGGACCTGTCGTCTTGACAGATTACTGATGATGATGATGATATTTTGATGAAGAATTGTTAAGTTTGTTTTACTATAGTGATTAGATAATAATTTATTAAAAGAATAGTTAAGATTCTTATGAACGATATTATATGGTCTTCAGCATTAATTTTCATAGCGTTAACCACAACTGGTTGGTTGACGCTTAAATAAGGTGACCTAGTTACTGAAATTTTTTTATTATGGTTAGAGTTCCTAATAGGAGCTTTTGCGTGGTTACCTTCACACCTTTTAGTGTTATTGTCGTGAAACTCATTGTGCCAACCAAGAATTATGGGAGCTGAGGATTTCTGTTCAGGAAAGGACTGGAGAAAAGAAGCTATCTGATATGTTACCAGTCATTTCCATAATTTGTTTCTGTGGAACCCATGGTTAGTAAATAGATTTCTATTATCATCAGTTTCTAAGAAACTAGTATGAGAAAATGCTTTAACTAGTTTCTTTTCCTGTTTAAGGTGGATATGCAACTATTCACAGAAGTTGAATTAGACAAATCATATCTAAATGGTACATTCATCACAGCAATATTTGTATGTTTCTTAGACATTATAAAATTAGTAATATTTTTCAAAGTCAAAGAGAATCCATTCAATTTATAATCATTTGAACCACTACAGATTACTAAAGAATCTCTGTGGGACAATTGATTAATCTCTTCTTTAGTTGAATTCATCAGTTCATTAGAACTAGATCCAGGCTTAATTACACTATATAGTTCATGATTTTTGCTAAGTAAGGAACTCAAATTACAACTGTAGCCTTTTAAATTACTATCACCAATAAGAATTACTCTGTAGAGCATTACTATCATTGTTCCGTTCATTAATGGACTGACTTAATGTATTTATACTATCTTCAATAGAGTCAGTATACTTCTGATTTGATTTTACATTATTATTCACTCGAATCACACCATTCACCACAGTTGGAATATTCTGAACTTCATTGTGATTTTTCTTGCTGTTTAGAGTGTGTTGCTTGAATTCTGTGTGGACAGTGCCCTCTCTGTACAAGATTTGCATGTGACAGTTTTCCAATTTCACTACTAACATTCCTGACTAACCCTTCTTCCACTTTTATTAAGACTCTAAAACAAAGAAATTCTATCTGCTTGTTTTTCAATGAAAAGTATAGTTAATTATAAGAGAGAGATCAAAGAAGTGGAGAAAGAATTTCTTTCACAATTTCATTGACCTTCATTGAAAAGAATAATATACCAACAGCTGGTTGTATTTGTCTGCACTGGTTTTATATTTGTTGTTTGATTTTTTTGTGGGCTACCCTTGTTTGTTCTGTGTCGACTATCCCATCATCCTGTAGAGTGCTGACTAAGGAAACCCCTCTTACATCACACCATTTTATTGCAAGAAGATGGTTGCTTTGTGCAAGCAGGTTTTAAACTTCTTTAATTTTCTTTTAAGATATTTCTTTCAGCTTTTATTTTCTGTATGTGACAGCACACACAGCTTTTGCATTAGTTGTCAAAGAGTGTGGGACTTGCGAACCACTGGCCCCATGTATTGTGTAACCCTTATTAAAAAAGTGTAAGAATTGAAAAGAGAAAATGTTTTCTGTGATTCCTGAGTGACAGTTCATTCTCAGGAGACCAAAAAATGCAGAATTGTTTGCTGGTACTATACTTCATATCCATCCATCAGTTCGTTTTCTAGTTGCTTCACATTTCCATTTTTGCCCTCTTTCTGTTTGTGTTTGAGGAGGTAGAATTTTCTGTCTCCCTCACTGATAATTATTCCAGGATTATCAGTGTCAACTGGGGTTGAAGTTCTTCATTGTCTGTAATTTTGATTCATCGGAATCTGTATAATTTACCATTACAGTGATATCATTAACGGTCATGTACCCGCATTGTGAGCTAATGTAGCACTTACCCTAGGATTTTCCATCTTGTATGGACTGCACCACAAAATAAAATGAAACTCTCTATCATTCAGATGCATGGTAGATATTTTTAGAGCAGTGTCTGACCTCTCCTTGATCATCAACTCATGTTCCATCATGAGAAAAGTTCAAACATGGGGGAGACATCCATTGAAAAAGTGAGAATGTGCAAAGTGGGGCATAGTAAATACAGCACCTTACGTTAGATGGCAGCACTTCACAGTGCTGTTATGCAGAGATTCCTACTGTTGAACCATAAAACTACAAGCTTTAAGCTGTCAAACAGTGATGGTTTTATGTTCACATTGGAAGTTGTTATTTTACCAGCAGTTTTTAAAATACTTATACAACTATCAGTTTTCTGACAAGGCAGTCTGCATGATATGTGGATATAAAGTGTTAAGCAGGAGGGAGGTTGCCACAGCCATACCCTTGCCTCAGATCCTGTGCCAAAATGAGTGATAGCTGTATAAGGAGATTTGCTATTTGGCAGTCACACTGACTGTTACAGAACACAGTAAAAGTTACACTATAAGCAGCGAGCCACCATGAAATACTAAAATCGGTAAGCCTCAATCTTTGTGCACCTGTAAGTATGAGAAACAAAATTTCAAACCCATGCAGAACAAATGCATGTAACATTATGATTTTGTGTGTATTTATATTTTTAGATGTCAGAGAGGAAGACAAGACTTCTGAACTGAATGATAGCAGATGTTCCCAAAATGTCATTTGCTTGTAATTTCTTCATGATGGGATTTGCATTTGTTTCTGTCATTTGAACTTGACTACATTTATAAAAACTCATCTTGAAGCTAAAGCTCTGTGCTTTGTATTAGCAGTGCTATTTGTGCAACCAGTAGGCACATCTACTCTCAGATAGTTAATTCATATAGGGTTTTGTTCATCATTAACCCTTCATGGATTTCTTCCATATATGAATAATGTTGCTCATCTGTTCAAATTCAGTTACAACTGATCACATGTTAACATTCATGCTTTTATTTATGGAAATATATGTAATGAACATATGCGAGTAGAAGGTATGATAACAGTGGTATGTTTCATGTAGCTCAGTATTTTTATTTTCAGGTTGGTTGTGCCACAATCAAGGAAGACAAAGAAGCTTTTGCATTGATATCTGTCTCGCCAATGGAAGTGCGAGACCTAGACTTTGCAAATGATGCCTGTAAAGTTCTTGCATCTATATCATCAAAACTAGAGAAAGGGACAATTTCGCACAACGAGAGGCGGTAAGTTATTTGTTTTAAATGAAAATTGACCAGTTAACACTTTTTATAAGTTGTGTGAGGGCCAGTAAATATGAAGATAAATTGTTGAAATATAAGTTTTTGTAATTCATAAGAAATTATTTTTTTACTGTTATATTTATTTAACATTCAGTCCTGCACATAAGTTACTGGTGAAGGCAAAATTTGTTTTCTTTTTTCTTTGTGATTTATGTAATGATGCTATCAGTGTGTCATATTATATGATGTCATAAGGTAAGATCAGAAGTGAACAATGAATTTGAAGTATTGTGGACAGTCATGGTCATGGCCTTACTAGAGAATACCATCGCTCACTCATGGAGCTGAGCCCTTCTTGAGAAGCCACCAATTGTGCAGCTACTCAAGAACTTCCCAGCATTTTATGGAATCCAAAGATTCATTACTGTGTTCACAAGAAACCTCCACTAGTCCCTATCCTGAGCCAGACCAATCGAGTCCATTCCATCCCATCCTGTCTCTCTTAAGATCCATTTTAATATTGTTCACCGACCTATGCCTTGGTCTTCCCGGTGGTCTCCTTCCTTCCAGCTTTCCCATTAATATCCTATATGCATTCCTCCTCTCCATTATTCTTGCTGCATGCCCTACCCATTTCATCCTCCTTGACTTGATCATTTAAAAAACCTAAATCATCATAGTTGATGTCCCATCAAAGATTTGAACTGAGCACCTCTTGAATACAGTTCAGAAGCATTACCATTTGAAACAGTGTTAGATGTGCACATTGTTGAAAGATGTATGTGGGTATATGAAAATGATACTGAGAGCATATGTAAATTATGTCAATTTGACACAGAATAAATGAACATATTTTTAGTCTGGCAAATGTGCTTTCATTTTCATCACAGTGAACACTTATTCATTTGTGTATTGTGCATAATTATGCACAGAATTGGTCTTTATTTGCCTTTGTGTATGGGCATGCCTGAGTATGCACAAGCGTGTCCGTGCCTGCGCCCGTGTGCATCTTTACATGACCTGGATTTTTTCGTTCATGAAATTGTATGTTTACCTGGTGTCATTTTTCTCTTTTGTGTTAACAGAGCTGTGACAAGCTTGCTGCAGGATATTGTGTACTTTATTGCTGGCCAAGAAAATGAACAAAACAAGTCTGAAGCTTTAGATCTGGTGGTGTCAAATCCAAACCGCGATCGTCAGAAACTTCTCAGGGAACAGTACATACTGAAACAGTTATTCAAAATACTTCAAGCTCCATTTCTTGAATCTGTTGAAGGAGAAGGCCCATTCCTTAGGATTGAAGAACTCAATGACCCTCGTCATGCTGCATACAAGTATATGTTCCGGCTGTGTTATCGGATATTACGTTTAAGTCAGCAAGACTACCGTAAGAATCAGGTGATTATCATTATTATATCTGGTGTAAATGTTAAAATAATATAACAAGTTTCATGCTGTGGTCTTTGGGTTATGACACCATGCAGTCTGTTTGGTGGATATCAACATTATTGAGACCTGCTGTTTTCGTCCAGGCTTCATATAGGCAGCATTAAAAACCACAAATACAAAAGTCACAATAGAAAAACACAAAAAACCCACCACCATATCACAAGATATTAATCAGAGGAGAAACAACTTAGATTATGTAATATCAAACATTTTAATATTAATCCTATATCAAGAAAGCAGTCTTCTGAGATGTGGCACCATGTAGATGTGGTGTTAACCAATGTTTTGGACGACCGTATTGCCTCCATCTTCAGGGTAGAAGGAAAAATAAAATCTGCAAGTGAAGAGACAGTGAGAACCAGTGCAAGCAGACTGGACTAATGTGGGAAATAAACTCAGCTATGTGAGAGCAGGGAAGGGGGGGGGGGAACAAGTCTACATGGGAAATCATGGGAAATCAGTGGAGAGGGAGAGGGGAAGGGTCTGGGACAGGAGCAGGGTTTTGTATAGGATATTGTGTCGGGGGAAGAGAAGGGCAAGGTTAATGGGAGGGCATTAACCCTTAAGCTGGGGGGGGGNGCCCAATATAGACCTTGCTGCACTCGCATGGGATACTGTATACACCCAGTGTCCTTTGTCCCAGGCTATCTTTGACCGGCCAGAGTAAACTGGATAATTTGTTTGGAGGCAGACCTACTGATTTGATGTTGTGCCGGGACAGCACTCTGCTGATACAGTTGAATACCTGTATAATCCCGACATAAGGAAGGAAGGCGACTGAGTCTTGTTTATCTTCAGACCAGCTGATGTTGGGCCGACGGTTGAGAACTCTATGGATCTGTCGGTTGTTGTATCCGTTCTTCCTGAATACGCCCCCCAGGAGCACCAACTCTGCATATAGGCTGTCTTGATCACAAAGAACTGTGCACCAATTTTGAAAGTGCAGCTTGCTTGTTGGATGGGTGGTGGTGGGACGCAGCATTAAGGTAGAGGTTTGTATGGGTGGATTTGCAGCACACTCTATGGCCCAGAGAACTGTCTGGTCTCCTGTAAATATCTATATCTATATATGTTCCTCTGAAATGTCAGTTAACACCACATCTACATGGTGCCACATCCCAGAAGACTGCTTTCTTCATATTCACCACCGTGAAAACCTCAAATCTTACACAATCCTATATCAGTTTTAATTTTATCTACAATTTTAATTTAGTTTCAAATCATTGTTCCTCCTAATCAAGAAAACTGTGGAATGCAATCCAGATTTTATAACAGCATATTTTATACTCCCCTTCAGTTTTAATTACAAATTTATTCCAGTTCAAATTTTGAATTGATATTTATAGCAATGAAAAGAAAAATTGCAGTGAAAATGACAGTTAAGCAACTTGCATGATAGGCTATACAAAGCATGCAACCTAGCCTGAAGACATGCTGTTTGTTACCTATATAGCTTGTGCGCCACATCTCGATGTCACTTGCATATATTTGTATGTTGAGTAGAGAAGAAGCAGCAGCTCTAGTGTCATTGTTCTCCATCCATGTGCCTAAGCCCTACAAGCAAACAAAATGCCATTGTGATTGGAAATTAATTTCAAGTTTGAGGTTCGCACAGTGGAGGAGTGAGTGAGAGTGATGAGATTCATTGCAGGTTAGTGGGTGTTTATGGCCAGAACATTTTCAGCTGAAAGGTAGTGATTGCATGATGCAGCGAATTTAAAGATGGCCGAACGATACTGAATGATGATCCACAGAAACACAGAGGCAGACAGAGGACTTCACACACTGATGAAAAGTGTGTCATTATCGAAGGTTTGATAAGGGAAAATCGAAGAGTCAGAGTTCATAAAATTGCTGAACTGACAAGTATTGAAAAACTGCTGTCCATGAAATCATCTCACGTTTAAACTCCCATAAATTCTCTGCTCCCTGGGTTCTGAAAATGCTCACTGGGGAGCACAAAAGCAAAAGAATGGCTGCTTCACTTGAAAATCTTTGCTGTTACCGAGATCAATGAGAATCATTCATGGAAAGCATCATTACAGGAGGTGAAACATGGGATTACGATTTCACCCCAGAGTCAAAAAGAAACTCCAAGACTTCGAAACATTCTCATTCACCCACTACAAAAAAATCAAAATTGAGCTGTCTGCAAACAAAAAAAAAAAGTAGCGACAGTGTTCTGGGATTGTGAAGGCCTCCTGCTGTGTGAATTTCTCCCACCAGAAATAACAGTCAACAGCGTCAAATACTGAGAAACTCAAATAATTGCATGAAGCCATTAACTGAAAGAGACCAGGCTGATTAACCACTGGCGTGAGGCTTCTGCATGATGGAGCATGAGCTCACACTTCAGCCCAGACAGCAGCCTGGTTCCAAAAGCGGAAGCGGGAAGTTCTGCAGTATCCACCACATAGTCCTGATGTAGCGCCATCAGATGTCTACCTCTTCAGGCCATTTAAGAACTTTTTGTCAGGAAGAAGATTTGAGGTTCAAAACGCATTGCAGAACTCAGTTGTGCCATACTTGTCATCCCTTGGAAAGGAATGTTTACTAAAGCAATGGGATAAATGTCTGAATGTTAATGGTGACTATGTGAAAAAATAAACATCAGTATGTAGTCTTTCTTGACTTTTGTTATTTTTTTTGCAATAAATATGTAGATGTCATTTTGTGCTGTACCTTTAAATTTGGACCACCCTCGTATGTTGTTTTATCAACTGGTTTGACTTCTATGATATGGTGCGAGTCATTTTGTGATTTGTAAATAATTACAAGTGAACATCAACACTGGCTTGTTGCATATAAGTGACAATTAAGTATAGTGTAGTCTGTGTTCAGCATGTCTGTGAAATTGTGTCTCATCACCTAACTTCCCATTTAATCTCTGAGAATTAATTGTATAAGTTTAATTTTTGTATGTCTCACGTCATAAGATGAATTGCCGCAATCTCTGTATATGATCTAGGAATCAGAACAAGATATACCTCAATTGAATTTCACTTGTGAAGTCAGTTGTCATTAATCGACTTATTTAAACTGTCACAGTTTATAGCATTGCCGATTAATGTTTTTCAGCTTAATGAAAGGAAGTGTGTTTATATTAAGACCTGAAACTTGCACAGCAAATAAATATACTGAAATCTTCTTGTTTGGCAGTTAGTCATGTCATGGTTGAGCTGAGATTTATTGTCTCCATCAGTAGGATTAATGTTATTAACCGTGATGATGGAAACAGAAAATTTCCAAAGCAATCATTTTTACTGAAACATAGCTGTAAATGTGTTGTTATTCAAGTATTTCTTCATTATGTATTTTTCACCAGCTACAAGCAAAGGTTTGTTGTTATATGTACTGTATATCTGTAATATTGTGCACTGCATTTGCTCTTACACTTGCATGCTTACTTTTAGAAAAGAAAAAATGAAATATCTTACTTTTACCTGTTACTAAATTTTGACCTATACATTATTTCGGCAGAAAATTTGATCAAGGATATCTATGAAAATTATGCACTGGGCACAGTTTTATAAAAGGGCTTTTTCATCTCAGTGTTAACCAATGAAGTGCATGGTGAAGTCCATGGGAGTGAATATTCATACCATGTTGCAACATTGCATTCAACTTGAAGTGCATTTTCCTTAAATTATGCATGGCAGGACTATCCCTACTATGTTGACACATCACATACAGTTGTAATCTCAGATCAGGTAGTGGAGTACGTAGGCAGGACTATCCCTACTATGTTGACACATCACATACAGTTGTAATCTCAGATCAGGTAGTGGAGTATGTAGGCAGGACTATCCCTACTATGTTGACACATCACATACAGTTGTAATCTCAGATCAGGTAGTGGAGTATGTAGGCAGGACTATCCCTACTATGTTGACACATCACATACAGTTGTAATCTCAGATCAGGTAGTGGAGTATGTAGGCAGGACTATCCCTACTATGTTGACACATCACATACAGTTGTAATCTCAGATCAGGTAGTGGAGTATGTAGGCAGGACTATCCCTACTATGTTGACACATCACATACAGTTGTAATCTCAGATCAGGTAGTGGAGTATGTAGGCAGGACTATCCCTACTATGTTGACACATCACATACAGTTGTAATCTCAGATCAGGTAGTGGAGTATGTAGGCAGGACTATCCCTACTATGTTGACACATCACATACAGTTGTAATCTCAGATCAGGTAGTGGAGTATGTAGGCAGGACTATCCCTACTATGTTGACACATCACATACAGTTGTAATCTCAGATCAGGTAGTGGAGTATGTAGGCAGGACTATCCCTACTATGTTGACACATCACATACAGTTGTAATCTCAGATCAGGTAGTGGAGTATGTAGGCAGGGCTGTCCCTACTATGTTGACACATCACATACAGTTGTAATCTCAGATCAGGTAGTGGAGTAGGTAGGCAGGACTATCCCTACTATGTTGACACGTCACATACAGGTGTAATCTCAGTTTCCAAGAAAGCTGTGTCAATTAGATTTTTATCTTGGAACATTTCCACCCAATAACTGTCAATGGATCACATTGGAGTCCATAGGTGTGAATGTTGATACTGTGTTGCCACATTGCATGTAACATGTAAAGTTTTACTCAAAGAAAGAGTATTTCCATGTGTTATGCACCTCAACCTTCAGACGCATTATTGCGGTATGAAAATGCAAGAGTAAATGTGATAATTCATTTTTATTCCAGGTTTGAATGCCTTAAACCCTTTTCTCTCTCTCTTTTTTTTCGTACCTTAACTGATGACGGGGCATGCGGTAGTGTAGTTGGTTGAGGCACTGTGCTACAAGCCGGAAGGTCGCGGATTCAAGTCCCGATGAGGTCATTGGATTTTTTTCCAATTGACCTAAACTTTCCAGCCACACTATGGCCCTGGGGTCGACTCAGCCTGTAACAGAAATATATACCAGGAATATTCTTGGGGGTAAAGGGCGGCTGGCGCGTAGGGCTGACAACCTTGCCGCTATCTATGAGCCGATTATCTAGAAAATGTGGGAACCTCAACATCTCACAACGCTATGGGCCTCCATGTCTTGTTGCAGGGACACCTTTGCTTTACTTTACCTCAACTGATGTTCATGTTATGATCCCAGTTTTCCCCCCTTTCGGTTGAATTTTATAGCATTCATCTGGGATGGATAGGTGAACACGTGGTATTAGTTTCTTTCCTTTGTGTTTTTAATTGTTTTCCTGATAGAGGTTGTTGGAAGAGAATTAAATTCTGTTTAAATCCAAATTGTAGACAGACAGTGAAAGGGAATCAAATAATATTAGTAATTTAATGAGTTGAAAACACTTGTATTCAGTTTTTGTTTTTCACTGTATAGCCAAAGGTATAATTTTCATTAATTTTTAATTTCTTCATCATAGGAGTACATTGCCAAGCATTTTGGATTCATGCAGAAACAGATTGGGTATGATATCTTGGCAGAGGACACAATCACAGCATTGCTTCACAACAACCGCAAGTTACTGGAGAAACACATCACTGCAGCAGAAATTGAAACATTCGTTGGACTGGTTCGCAAAAATATGGATAACTGGCAGTCACGATTTCTGGACTACCTAAGCGACCTCTGTATATCAAACAAGAAAGCTATAGCTGTTACACAAGAGCTCATCTGTAAAAGTGTACTGAGTTCCAAAAATTCTGACATTCTTATTGAAACCCGGTAATTTCATTCATTATAATCTTAATCTATGTGTATCTGTGGCAGGAGCTATTAACATGTAGAAGTAGTACTGCAAGAAATTTTTTTGCTTGCTTTTTGTTAGTTTTCATTAAGCATTTCACTTATAAACAACAGCATTCAAAATGGTAAAAACAGATAAGTAACTTGGTTCTCACTCATGGAGCTGAATCCTTCTTGAGAAGCTGCCAATTCTGCAGCTACTTAAAAAATTCCCAACATTTCATGGAACCTGAAGGTTCATAACCATGTTCACAAGAGCCCTCCACTGGTCCCTGTCATGAACCAGATCAGTCCAATCCATACCATCCCATCCTGTCTCTCTAAGATCCATTTTAATATTGTCCACCCACCTACATCTCAGTCTTCATAGTGGTCTTCCTTCTGGCTTTCCCAGCAATATCCTATATGCATTCCTCTTCTCCCCCATTCGTGCTATGTGCCCTGCCCATCTCATTCTTCTTAACTTGGTCATTCTAATTTTACTTGGAGAAGAGTACAATTTATGAAGCTCCTCATTATGTAGTTTTCTCCAACCTCCTGTCACTTCATTCCTCTTCAGTCCAAATATTCTCCTCAAACACCCTCAGTCTCTGTTCTTCCCTTAATGTCAGAGACCAAGTTTCACACCCATACAGAACTATGGGCAAAATTATATTGGTATATTCTAATTTTTTTGTTTTTAAACACCAGGCAAGAAGACAAAATCTTCTATACTCAGAGGTAGCAAGCATTACCTGAAATCAGTGTCCTCTTAATTTCATCCTGAGTCAGGTTTTAGTATAGTTATTGCAAAATATTTAAACTGTGCCACATTTTCAAAACATCTGTTAGCTATCTTTGTATCATAATTATGCCCTGCATTCTGGCGATGAGACAGCAACATATACTTGGTTTTCCCTGTGTTTACTTCTACACCAACCTCCTTACTAGCATCAGGCAACATTTTTCTTTATGGTATCAATATTACCACCCAGTAGATTCACNCCTGAGTCAGGTTTTAGTATAGTTATTGCAAAATATTTAAACTGTGCCACATTTTCAAAACATCTGTTAGCTATCTTTGTATCATAATTTTGCCCTGCATTCTGGTGATGAGACAGCAACATATATTTGGTTTTCCCTATGTTTACTTCTACACCAACTTCCTTACTAGCATCCGTCAACATTTTTCTTTATGGTATCAATATTACCACCCAGTAGATTCACGTCATCAGTACAGACCAATAGCTGATGTGTCCCCTTTAATTTCAGTCCCACCTAGTTTTCCTGGACCTTCCTAATGGCATATTCTGAAGCAGAGTTGAGAAACAGCAGCAGTAAGGTAACTCCTTGTTTTAGACCATTCTGGATAGGAAAATTATGAGACAAATGTTGGCCTATGCAGACATTACTACCCGTTTCATTTAAACACATTTTAATCAGCATAACTAGTTTCATGGTTTCCCCAAACTCTTATCAGAATATTGTACAGTACTTCCCTTATAACTGAAGCATACGCTTTTTTGAAGTCTACGAATAGCTGATGTACAGTCTCATTTTTCTCCAGTATCTGACGAATGCAAAATATCTAATCAGTAGTTGATCTGTTAAGTTGAAATCCATACTGATGATCCCCTATAATTCCATTGATGTATGGACTTAACCTTAAGAGTAGAATATTGGATAAAATTTTGTATGAAGTTGATAAGAGTGATACCCACGATGAATAGTACAGTCAGTTTTATGACCCTTCTTGTTAATTGGTATTAGCTTAGGGATCTTAGAACGTAACGTTTCCCCTCCTGCTTGAATCATTTCTGCCGGAATTTGTTCACTGCTTGGTGATTTAAACGTTTTCATTTTGCAATAGCAATTTTGACCTCAAAAGGGCTAGGATCAGGCCCTAATGGCTCAGCTGTATGCATTTCTATCTGCCTAACATCAATGACCCTATGTACATTCACTAACTGAGAGAAGTAGTTCTTCCACCTGTTCAAGATATTGTGGGAATCTGCAAGCAGATGACCATTCTCATCAATTAAGTTAATTCTAGGTTGGTTACTCCACTTAAAGTCATTTATTCCTGTATACAGGTCTCTAATGTTCTTATTCTTACTGTTCTTTGCAAGCTCATCAGTTTTGTCTTTCAGATATTCCTTCTCTTTTTCTTTAAATGTCTGCTGGTTTCACATCATATATTGTTCAGATTAACCCTATTTATTTTGCTTGGATCCTGTAACCACTGCAGTTTGGCTAGTTTGCATTGGTCTAATAATTTTGAGCATTCTTCTTTGAACCATGGCTTATGTTTCTTCAATTCATAATAACCTGGACTCTGTGTGGCAGAAATTTTTATATTGTTTGTAATAGTTTCCCAACCTTTATTAGTATCCGCCTCAAGTGTCCTTAAGTTTTCCAAAGGTTTGAACTGATTCGTGATTTCAACATGATACTGCTCCTTACCCTCTGTCTTGTTTAATTTCCTGAGATTGACCCTCTCCATATGAACTCCGCGTTGTTTGCATACTCGCTGCCAGTCTTTCCCTAACCTTTGCCACCACCAGGCAGTGGTCAGTACACCAATCTGCTGCCCTGAATGATCAGATATCAAGTATACTTGAATGCCATCTCCCATCTATCAAAATATAGTAAATTTGATTGTGCGTCTTCCACATTCCCAATTGTTGGTTTGCAAATGTCATCCCCACCTATGTACTTTGGCATTGAATTCACCTAATGGATAAGTGACTTTTTTTCATCCCCCTTTGGCACTACAGCCCCAGTGGGCCTAGGCCTACCTCCATGACTTCTCCGTTCACTTCAGTTTTTCTAGATCTTACACATTTGGTAGGACTCCTTGGATGGGTGATCAGCTCGTTGCAAGGCCTCTACCTATACACAAACACACAAAAACACACACACACAAACTAAACATCCATGCCCTGAGTGGGATTTGAACCCATGATCCTGGTTTCCAAGTGAGCGAAGACAGTACATGCCTTAGACCGCTCGGCTACCGTGACTGGCTAAGTGACTCATACCAAATTAATTTAAAGATAGACTTCTCTTATTTCATAATGTTTTAACTTCACTTACCTTTAAGATTAAACTAACCACACAGCAAGGAATGATAATTTATTCCTTGTATTCTCTTTCAATCCTGTGAGATGGCATCTGGAATTAGAATTTTACCATACATGGCTACTGATTGTGGGTTTCTGCTTCTAACATCATGATAATGTGTCAAGTGTTAACATCTTTTTTCCTTGTATTCTCTGACATCTCATCTAGTATTTGTGTGAGTGGTCTGCTCAGAAAGTTTCAGAACTTTTGAAATAGTATGCCAACTCGATGTCTTAGCAATATCGGATAATCTTAATGAATGCGTCCTGTTGTGTTATCCTCTCAACACAACAACCATTAGAATCTCATTCACAGTTCACTGTGTATAATGGGTTTATTGGTCTTAATACACTACATGTTTCGGCTTATAAAGCCATCATCAGGCAATACACATCAACAAATATTTTCAGACTATTGAATTTCCCTTTAGATAATTCATACATTGCAATGTAATAACTATCACTAATGTACCTGACTTTGCATTCAGTTAATACATTAAACTTTCATGTGAATTAGTACAAATTTTATGAAATGCATTAAAATTGGAACAATTATAGTGATCAGTGCGTGAGTCATACACACTGTTATGTTATTCCTCCTCCGAGAAATTTGATCATAATGTATTGTTCCACACTCCGCGGTACCTTCTGTTTGCTCATCACTCTAGCAACTCCCAGACAGGACTGAACAGGTTCTAACCCGAACAGGAGGGAGGGTGGAGGTTGTGGCTTCACTCTCTCAAGGTTGCACAGCTGCTGCACAGTGAGGCTTGTTTACACACAAATCAGTCCCGGTCATATTTGAATCACCTTGTATTGGTTGTTCTTGGTTGCAGTGTGTAGCTGTTCTGAATGTTTCATGTAGTTGGTTCTGTTTTCAAGGAGGATGAGGTGGGCAGGGCATGTAGCATGAATGGGGGAGAAGAGGAATGCATATAGGATATTGGTGGAAAAGTCAGAAGGAAGGAGACCACTGGGGAGACCAAGGTGTAGGTGGGTGGACAATATTGAAATGGATCTTAGAGAGGTAGGATGGGATGGTATGGATTGGATTGATCTGGCTCAGGATAGGGACCAGTGGGGGCTGTTGTGAACGTGATAATGAACCTTTGGGTTCCATAAAATGCTGGGAAGTTCTTGAGTAGATGCAGATTTGGCTTCTCCTCAAGAAGGGCTCAGTTCCATAAGTAAGTAAGTTAATTCTGTTTTTATATAGTGGTAGTGTGAGTATGCTGCTAACTGGTGTTCATTGGGGTTGTGTGTATCAGTGTTTGTGTTATTTTTGTGTGAGTTATTTTTACTGATTTCATATATGTTGTATTTTTCTAATGTGTTTAAGTTTTTTCCCTTTTTTCTGTATTCAAGCCATGTATTAAACATGGGACGTGCATATGGGATCATAATATATGCAGTGAACATTATAATAACACAGAAAACGGAAAACACTTAAACATGTTAGAAAAATACTACATATACAAAATCGGTGAAAATAACTTACACATGAATGACACAAACGTTGATACACATAACACAGTATGCAGAACATTGCAGGAAATGAACACCATTCAGCAACATACACTCTGCTTCCTATAAAAAACAGAACAAACTGCATGAAACATTCAGAACACCTGTATACAGCACCAAAAGAAACACAAGAATAGAATGTAAGGAACATTACAATTACAGTGATAGAGCAACAGTATATAACATAAAATATTCACTTCATAAACAAAACATTAATGTAATCCATTGTTATATATTACAGATATGCCAGACCCAGAATGCTTACCTTCATGTGCCTCCTTAGTTATCTGTAATCATCCTGTTAGATCTCACTCGCCGATCCATAAATGTATCATCTGGTAGAGCATTGCAGGT